AAAAGATTTAAATTTACCCCTCTCTGTAGGAAGTAAATACTCTGTAGAGAATAAGTATGGCTTTTATGGATTGGAGGTATTTATTAATTTATTAATTTTTAGGTATTCATTGAGCATCAAGATGTGGCATAATCCACTGATAGAAATAAAGTAAACATAGTCCTGTCACCCATCCGTGAATGATTCAGCCCAGTGGGAGCATAAGGAGTTGTAGATTGTACACACAAATACTTCTCGGCAGGTTCCTCCATAGGAAAATTTCTGTAAAAGAAGGGGGTGCATAGGGGGGGAAATATATTACACAGTGTCCAAATATCACAATGTGGCCAAATGTAATGTAACTCTGTTTTTGTTTTAAAACTATAATTAACCGATCATCACCAGTTCTGCTTTGTTGAGCTTGTTTGTTTGTTTGTTACTTCCACAGTGTAATTTGGGTAAACATAAGTATGCTCCTCTCATTCATATGAAAAAGGGAGTATGAGATCAAAGACTGCATGGTCCCGCAATGTGTGTGAAAGAACGCCACTTTATTTGCATAGAGTTGTTTCACTTAATTAGTATACAGTCTCATTTTTCATTATGGACATGGTTGTCAACATGTGTTATGGTTTGTGTCTGTTTGTCCCCCAAAGCCTCATGCTGTCATGGGGCAGGCTTTTGGAGTTTGATTGATTATGGGTGTAAGTGGTGCACCCGCCCTGGTGTGATAGTTTGCATATGTAAGGGAGAGGAAGAGGCTCCTTGCTGCCATTCCTCCCTGTTAGTGCTTGTTGCTTTGCTGTGTTCTGACCCCATGAGATGTAACCCTCTGCCATGTGCCGCTCTGCCATGTAACCTGCCAAGTATGGACTAAAAGCTCCACAATCTGTAAGTGAAATAAACCTTTCCTTCCTTAATTTTGGGTGTCAGGTATTTGGTCCCAGCAATGAGGGAAAAGTAACCAAGAGAACATGCTTACCTGCAGACACACGGGACCTTGGTATCTGATAAATCCAAGATCCTAGAGCAGTTATTTCTTGCATCCTAATTCCCTGAATA